AGATGATAATGTATTAGAATGAGCGCATTAATATAAATCTGTGATCTGAAATTAATCCACACCTTCTGACCAATCAGAATCAAGAATAACAGCACTGTTGTATAATACTAAATAGGCCTACTGCTCAGTTACTAAATCAGGGTTGTGTAATTGCTATTATGAGTTTAAAAAACCATGCATGGCTTGATATATGTACGGATAGTTCATAAATTTCTGCTACTATGGATAGACATTTTTAATAAAAGTGTTAGCATGGACATGTGAGGTGTAGACTACTGCCACTGCCACCCACAGTATCATTGCAGGAGGACTGTTACACATACTGTATATTTTGAATGTGTGTGTGTGTGTTTGTGTGTTTAAATATTGATCTATTCGGAACTGAGATTGAACAATAGTTATTTAAATTAAATCATGAGCATGGTTTCTATAGTTGACCACATGGGTGCAATTTCGTTGGTATAAAAAGCATAGTTCAAGCTTCTGACTGATTTTTAGTATCCCATAACCACGTTAAACTACACTGTGCAAGTCTTAAACCACAGGTTCCTAGCCTGCCCCTTGTCCTGCACATATTAGAGATTTTCCTGCTCCCAACACACCTCCATCCATCCTCTGTACTGCTTATCCTACACAGGGTAAGCAGGTAAGCCTGGAGCCTATCCCAGGGAACTTAGCGCACAACCACGCGCATACACACACACACCTCTTCACAATTTGGAAATGCTAATCAGCCTACATGTACAACACACGTCTTTGGACTGGAGAAAACCAGAAGACCGAGAGGAAGCCCCCGCAGCACAGGTGGGGTTTGAACCCTCAGCCACAGCAGTGTGAGACAAACATGCTAACCACTAAGCCACCAGCCTGAGGACTGCAGGTACTCCGGGACCAGGGTTGGGAACATACGGCATTGTGCACAAGAAAAAAAACTGAAGAAACCATTTATTTAGCTCTCTACGTGAATCCGTAGTATTTGCATTATCCAACTGGTGACTCACTGATCATGGTTTCGGGTCTCGATATATCCGCCCTTTCTAGGAAAAATGTACAGTTTTCTCAAACAGCTCAATCCAGCTGTATTAATGAACTTTCATGTGTGTTTGAAAAAAATTATTCTTATTCTTGTTATTGATTTTAAGCGACGTGTGTACGTTTTACGGGATTTATCTGGCAACCATCATTTTGCATTTCGTGGATTTTCTGTCGCGGGATCTGGCAACCCTCGCCTGACGCCCAGTGGTGACGCAGCGTCAGCTGTCCGTGTTTGTTTATTACACGGGAGGTGTTGTGGCGGCTTTGGAGCTAAAATAGCATCATTACTAAACTTTCAAGAATGATTTAATGACGGTAAATTTCTTTATTTCCTTTCCTAACACCCATGTAAATGTGTCAAATAGAGTGTATATTATATGAAGCAACACAGTTAGTCCAGTGCTGTAGCAATGTCCGAAGGTCGTCCTTACCTGAATGTAGCTAGTTAGCAATAGTAGTTAGCTAGGTAGCTTAGCTAAGAGCGCTAACGTGTCTGTGTGTGTTTCCTGCTGGCATTCTAAACTCACACCACACATTTGTGTACATTTTAATGCTATATTTGCTATATAGGTTATTTCCTGCCCTACATTAGCAAGGCCATAGGAACTAGCCACAATGCTAATTAGCTAATATTAGCTACAAGTTAGCGGCGGAAGAATGGAATAGTTTAGCGCACTTGGGTTTTTCAGAGATTTTGACCAACGCTTTCTTTTTTTTTTTTTTTTTTTTAGCACGAGTTGCTGCTTGATGCAGTTATAATGCTGTAATGTTAAACCTATAGCAGTTTGGGAAAGCTGGCTTCAGTGTAATGTTAATGCTATATAATAAACCTGTAGCTAAACATTTCCTAAAGTAAGCCTGAGTGAGGTAGCTGTGTCACTAACAGCCGAGTAATGGCAAAATAACCATTATAGTAATTACACTTTTCTGGATATGACACGGGGCTCATGTGCAGACCATTTATATATTCATAAATAACATGTTATAAGATCACTGTAATGCTCCATACATTCCGGGATCGACAAGGAAAGAAACAAACATCAGATGTAAGTTTGCCCTATTCATAATAAGGCAGTGGCATGCCTTAGTGTTCTCTCTTGAACATCCCATTTTAAAAGAAACTGGACATACCACTGCTCATCAACTTCTAGCAACAGCAGATGGTTTCATGCTTCTTACTAATTTGAGAAAGCAGAACAGATTAACCCATACTCTCATAAACTACACCACTAGCACAACAGATTAACCCATACTCTAATAAACCACACCACTCACAGATTAACCCATACTCTCATAAACCACACCACTAGAACAACAGATTAACCCATACGCTCATAAACCACACCACTAGCACAACAGATTAACCCATACTCTAATAAACCACACCACTCACAGATTAACCCATACGCTCATAAACCACACCACTAGCACAACAGATTAACCCATACTCTAATAAACCACACCACTCACAGATTAACCCATACTCTCATAAACCACACCACTAGCACAACAGATTAACCCATACGCTCATAAACCACACCACTCACAGAATAACCCATACTCTCATAAACCACACCACTCACAGATTAACCCATACTCTCATAAACCAC